AATATTATCACGTAGGAACCGCTTACCTAATTTCACTACGGAAACCAGGCGACCTCACTCCCTTAGTCGCAAATATCCTGAATACTATTCAAGATAAACGTATTTCATTGGAAGCAAGGCGAAAAAATCAGCTTTCAGATGATACCAATAACTCCACAAGCCCAAAAATGGACGGGCGCCTGATTCCACACGTCGTGAAACATATATGTGAGGCAGCGTGGTGAAATCAGGCTATCGTCCAAATAATCAAAGTGAAAAAACTTGCATTTTCCGCAGGTTTGTGAAATTTTATCAAATTCTTGTTTTTTGGCTCAACACCTTTCATATCCATTGAAGAACTCATTTCTGTGTGGATTTTTCTTAAAAACGTTGATTAAAGACACAAAAAATGTAAATTTTCAGTCACCACGGACTGTTAAGCTAAGTAAAAATAACTACTTTTTGGTGGCCATTTTCTAAATTTTACCTCGGAAAACAGGTGACCCCACCTCCTTCTTTGGCAAATATCTCGACTTGTATTGAAGATAAATGGATATTTTTTCATTGAAATAAAGACAAGTGAACAAGCTTTAAGATGACACCAATAACTCTAGATGCCCAAAAATTGACGAGAGCCTGATTCCACCCCGCTGCCTCACATATAGAAGAATCTATAGTCAAAAGAGAACAACTTGCTAAAAATAGAACAGACAGAGAACAGGTCATAAAGAAGACAAAAACTTGAATTGAAAGCAGGACCTGTTTAAATATCGTATGACTACGTGAGATGAGATGAAATGCTCTGTAGCCTAATTTTCCTTTTCCATTATATTCGGCTCTCTTACTCTCTTAGTCAAAAAAGTAGGCCTACTCGATATTGGCCAGTACTAGCCCCCACCCATTCACACCTTACACACACACACACACAAAAACACACACACAACCACACACACACACACACACACACACACACACACACACACACACACACACACACACACACACACACACACACACACACACACACACACACACACACACACTACACACACACGTGCATGCGTGCCACTCCATTCACATCAAAAAAAATCTTGAGAACGGAAACCGTACGGAGAAATAGAGTTCAAGTTTATTTTCCTGAGCGTTCAGAGAAATAGAGCCGGCCATAGATAAAACCCATATCATATAGAGATATTCTAGATCTAGATTAGATCTATATTCTGACTCGAGTCCGAATAGATAAAAAAATCGGTAAATTTTTACTTTCACTCCCGCACACAGATGCACTGTTTCAGGGGTCAAACTGCTGTACTGTTTGCTGCAGATCACACATAAAGCCACTAAAACTGTCGCAAATCAATTATTTTCAAGACAATTTCAAATCTAACTGTAAAATATCAAATTATGGGTAAAAACAGGGGGGCATGCCCCCCTGTAACCCCCCAGATTTTCTTTTACCCCAGTGGGGCAGGCCCCCCAGGAAGCCCCCGATTGGTCCAAAGCATGTCTATCTCGGTTAAAAACAATCAAATATTTCAAAAACTATTAATTTGCGAAGGAAATGAAGTTGATATTCGTGTTCAGCGCATCAATAGTTAGTAGAAAATAGACAACTGGTAGCTGAGTGTGAGACGGGAGGGAAAGTAAAAAAATACCAAAAAATCTAATACAGTAGTCTCCGCCTAAGATCCCGCCGCTTACGATCCCGGTTCGCTTAAGATCCCGTTGTTTTAGGAAAACAGAAATTTTACTATACAAAAGTCACCCTTAAGATCCCGCTCTGATGGTCTACATTCGGCTACGATCCCGCATTTCAGATTATAATTTGCTAAACAAAAACCCGGGCGGGCACAGCCGATCAACCTAGAGTGAAAAGTTGAGATCAATAAACTGTCCGTCGCGTCAAAGATCAACCACTATCGTGAATGTGATCACATACACGTTGTAAAACTCGATGAAGCGATACAATGTTTGCCCCAGACGGGATCACACCGAGGTGTGAACTGACCGACGCGTTTGTTTTCCCCACGTATCGCACTCACACCTGAGCTCGCCACCTAAACTTGCATCACTCGCTGGGTGGGTAGGGCCTACACGTTCGCTCCAGGCAGGATCACATCCAACTGTGAACTCTTCCCTGACCATTATTGCAGCAGTTGCACTGGGGTTGTTTGCCATTATTGTATTTAATAAAGCAAAAGTAAAAACTCCGTTTCTAGATGAAGAAGGGTAATTTAATGATGAAAATAATATGAGGTCTGCCCTCTCTGGCTTCACTGACAAGACTAAAATAAATCATAATGAGCATGAGTACATGTGATTGAAACAGGAAGGAGGAGTGAGTAAAGATCACTAAGATCAGACAATCTTTGTTGTGAGGGTAGATAAATAAAAGTAGGGCCTACAATTACAGGGACATAATTCAACATGTTAATATAAGGACCAACAATCCAGGATTTATTGTTTCCCTTCTGTATATTGATAAAAGCAATCTAATAGTCTAACAGTCTCTACTCCCGAATTTTCGAGACAAGACTGAATTTTAATTGGTGGGTTCACAACGTAATGGTGTGTAACGACAAAGGCGGTTTGGAAGGGGGGGGGGGAGTCGGTCAGAGATGGAAAGCTATAAATTTTTGACAGGTAAAGAGGGGCAACTGGATAAGAGTAGATCTTGAGACTCATGATAGGATAATAAGTGAAAATGGCACGCCACATCCCACTATGCACCGTGATAGGTCATCAAGGTTAACCACTCTTTGCTCGCCAAACGTCATAAACCCACCAAGCGGTCACGTCAGTTCATTGTAGAGTGGAGGGAGACCATTTTACCGATTGTGAGCCTTAACATGGGTCACCATAGATTCTTCCCTGGGTTCATCGGTTAAGATCCCGATTCGCCTAAGATCCCGCATTTCCTTGCTCCCAAGCACCGGGATCTTAGGCGGAGACTACTGTAGTATTACTATAGGACTCGACTCCAAATAGAGCTGGCCCTACTAGAGATCTAGATTCTAGATCTAGAAGTCTAAATCTAGATCTAGATCTAGATCTAGATTATATCTCTAGATATCTAGATACTAGAATCTAGATCTAGACTAGATCTAGATCTAGATCTAGATTCTAGTCTATAGGCTATAGCCTATAAAACAGAAATCGCAGGCAAAAAAAGTAGTGCACAAAGCACAGTTTTGTAGAGTCAATTCATTAAAATAGCAGAACCACAAGTTACCCCACTAGATCTAGATCTAGATCTTAGAGATCAACCACACATTCAAGTTCAAATTTGTAGTATTATTTTTTTACCTGAAGGCTGGGGCTGCAGACGAAGGCTACTGAAGTTGAAGTATAAAAATCTGCCAAAAAAACATTGTTTTACCAGCAATATAAATCCCAATCAAAATATAAAAATATCAAGCTCATCCAAACATTAGACTCTAGATCTAATCTAGATTCTAATTGGTTTTGAATGAAAATAACTAGATCTAAGCTATATATCTAAATAGTCAGAGATGACAACCTTGATAAAAGCTATTCTCACCTGCTGTAAATGACCAAAATGTTTTTAATCTGGGTACAATGTGTTACATGGTCGACCTTGGACTTTCGATTTCGTAATGCAAATATTTCCGCATCCGTAACTGCAAGTATTCAGTAATTGTGGCGTCAAAAAAATTGGTACCAAATTGAACTCGACTCACTCGACTTGAAACGACTCAAGTTTTAGGAATAGGCCTATAACAGAGTGCTGACCATCGAACATTTCTGGCTGTCGCAGTGGCTTCCATTTCAAGGATCAGGATCACACAGGGCTTACTATTGGTTAGGCCTAGTAATAGAATCACAGCAGTTCAACGAACGTAGGCAAATAAGGCACAGAAACTGCCGTTTGTGTTGTGACAAATAAATTAATGCCTGTGCATAGGGGGGAGGGGGGGGGGCGCCCAGTAATGTTGATCACAGGCCCAGTTTGTCGCAGGTCTAGTTTCTCACAATTTCAATTAAGTATTTGAGTATTGATGACAGTCATAATCACAGCACTTTAGCACTGTAGTTGTAACTTATGGGGGGTTTTTATTCTCCACCTTCAAATTGGCGAGAGATAATCCCTATATTATAAAATCCAGCTTGTGTTGTTCAATATTTCTTCCTTTTTGTGTGCAAATCAAAGCAAATTTAAACTACTCTGTAAAATTTCAAAATGAATATTCTTTCGTTAAAAACAATTGAAAAATGAAATTCAATTCATACCTGTGATTCATACAATCAATTAATGTTCTCTTTTTGAGAGACTGATAACTTCCATCATGCATGAGGGCACAGTCGAAGACAGTGACAAAAAAACTGGACCTGTGACAAACTGGCATGCTTCCGTGTATAGATCAAATCACTCACATCTAAAGCATGCTATTGTTTTAAAGCCTCTCTCTCTCTCTCTCTCTCTCTCTCTCTCTCTCTCTCTCTCTCTCTCTCTCTCTCTCTCTCTCTCTCTCTCTCGATCTCTCGGTCTCTCTCTCTCTCTCTCTCTCTCTCTCTCTCTCTCGGTCTCTCTCGATCTCTCGGTCTCTCTCTCTCTCTCTCTCTCTCTCTCTCTCTCTCTCTCTCTCTCTCTCTCTCTCTCTCGATCTCTCTCTGATCTCGATCGCTATCTATCTCTGTGCGTGTGCGTGTGCGTGTGCGTGTGTGTGTGTGTGTGTGTGTGTGTGTGTGTGTGTGTGTGTGTGTGTGTGTGTGTGTGTGTGTGTGCAGTGGCGGTGGGTGGACCAAAACTTGGGTGGGGCTTAGGTTGCTTTCACTTCTTTACCACCAAATAGCAATTAGCAATAAGAACAAAGCAGTGGTGATTTGTCCATACTCACGGGCGAGCCACGGCATTTTGAGAACCATTCATACGAGAAGAGTCACCTTAGTCTTCCTTCTCTTTGTGGTACGTTATATTCTTTTGGATGCTGGGGACGAAATTGTTTCACCTCGCCAAACTTCTCTAATTTTCATCTAATGAAAAAGTTGCCTCAAAAGTTGTTTGATGTAATTAATAACTGTTAAATCTCAGTGGTACACACACACATACACACACACACACACACACACACACACACACACACTCACACACACACACATACACACACACACACACACACACACACACACACACACACACACATGCACACACACACCACTCCACGAGCTGAATTAGGTCGTGTAGTCGAGGAAAGTAGACAGCACCCAAGGAGTTTAGATTACTTTTAATCTCCTTGACAGCACCTAACAAATGTCCAATGGGAGCGTAGGTAACTGTGTCACTGGGGGAAAGTGTGCCGTAAACTTTCACCCCATTGCCAGGACTAGGACAACGTGAGCCCTCTGTGCTGTGGGTTTGTTTGTGTTTTTCCACTGAAGCTACAGCGTGGTTTTTTTTCAAGTCTTCTACCTTTTCACAAGAAGAGTTTCATTAACGTTACTATAGTTGTAAGCGGTGGCAACAGTGATTGGATAAACGAGCAAGCCGCCAAGTTGATCACTCTGTGTTCATCGCGTGCGATCATAACGGTTTCAACTGCTTATTTCGTTATTTTCATTTGCTTTGGGATAGAGTTCGGGGTGGGAAGGGGGCTCAAGCCCGTGAGCCCTTCACTACCCACCGCCACTGAGTGTGTTTATTGTGTGTGTGTGTGTGTGTGTGTGTGTGTGAGAGACCCCAAATAGGCGCGTCAGGGTCCCTTACAGTTTTTTCTCTTGACCAATCAGACATAAAAAAATAACA